TAATATTGAAAATAACTTTTAAGATTATCCATCAACTTGGCAAAATTTTTAAAAAATATTTCCTCACTTTAAAAATATTCAAGAATCTTATTTGTTTTCTTGAGAAATTATAATGTTCAAAATGACACCATTTAATCCAGGCATAAAAGCTAAAAAAAAATTTCCTTTTTTCTTTAGACTTTTTTGTCTTCTCTCTCTCTCCTTAAAACTCTCTTTTCTCTCTAGGAAATGTTGAACGATAATTGAATGTTCATCGATTTCTGCAAAAAGCCAACCAAAATCTGGCCGAAAACTATAAATGGCATTGTATTCTTCACAAGATTTTGGAAAATTTTCAAAAAGAAAATTTCCAAAAATAAAAAAAAATTGATTTAATCTACTGGGCTACTAAAATACTTAATCCTTCAAATCAAAACCAAACCACACATTTCCCAAGCCAATGAATTCCCCAAAATTCCTTCCAATCCTACTACCAAAGTCTTGATGCAATTTCTCCCTATTTTTTTTCTCTGTATCCTATGTGTTGTGAATCAAAGCCTATTTATAGGAAACAATTTGTAACAATTTCAACTAATCTAGGATTATCAATTCAAAAATTCAATTATCACAAATCTAAATTAATTTTAAGATCACATCCTAATCCTAATCTCATCTCACCTCTAATAAGCCTTATCCACACCTATTTTTTTCAATTTTATCAATATGCCAACTAAGATAATTGAATAAAATAAAAATGAAGATGAAATTGAAATTGAAATTGAAATCGAAATAAAAAAACAAGAGTGAAATAAAGATAAATGGACAAAGTACAAAGATAAGTATAAATTGATAAACACTTGTGAAGATAAAAATAAAAATAAAAATAAAAAAATGAAATAAAATATAAAAATTGTAATTTTGAGCTTAAACATTGATTGGGATCAACAAACTCAGACCCCGGACTAAATGGGGTGTCTACATTAACTAAAGCCAAAAACAAATTAGATATGTTCTTTCATATCATTTAGAATGATGGATCCTCTTTTGACCACTTATCTACCTTCATATGCTTCAAACCATACCCAAAAGTTTCTTTTTTATGCATCAGGCATCTTAATTCATAAAGGTGAAATCCAAGTATGATGATTCATATATAAGATGACTTGGTGTCTCAAATTTAAGGACTATTTACTTAACTAAGAACATTTTCATAGATACTTGAGTAAGATACAAAATGGAGTTTTCATAACAGGCCATGTTTAGTGAACTTATTCCCTAACAAGTACCCACATGTTATCCATAAGTATCCCCATACTTTAACCAATGAGATCAGTTACTTATTGCACAAGTAAGGAGGTTTAGCATGTACGAGTCTTTAAGCATTGATAATGCCCAGTCTCAACAATAAATTGACTAGGAACAATTTAGATATACGACTTTAATGCATAAAGATCTTATAATTGTAACTCTTTACAATTCCTTTCCAAGGCCAATGTGTTCCATAGGTTTCATCCAATTAGCACCTTAATAACAATTTATCCGCATATCTATTGATGAAGGAAAACTTTTGATTTACTAAAACATAGTAATTAGTGCAATTTAGATGTATGTCCTTTAGCCAATCGATTGGCTTTAAGGCACATACACTAGAGGGCATATCTTTTAGCTAAGCTCATAATGCCTCAAAGGAATAAAGTTACTGATTTGGGAAATCATCATGTTGTATATGAGATTGATACTGTGACACTTCATTTCTTTGAAAATTTTTCTCGATATTCATTGAACTTTGAATTTTATTTTGATAATGGGTTACAAAATCAATTAATCAAGCTTTACCATAAAGTTGGATTTTTAGCCTAAATTAAATGGCCCAAAAGGATTTTTATTCATTTATTATTTTATTTCTAATATTTTTATTTTTTATTTTTGTTATTTAGTCAAAAAAATAAAAGGAAAACAAAAAAAGAAAACTAAGATTTAGATTGTGAAAGGGAATCCAATTTTTTTTTATTTTGTTGAAATTTGGAATTTAAATATTCAATTGGTTTTGGAAATACTTAAGCATCAAGCTAGTGTCAAAGAAAAGGATCTCAAAAAAAAATCTTGACAAAATTTTGATAGATTCAGTTGCATTGAGATTTTCCTATTCAATTTGGGATTTGAATCTTTATATAAAGACGACAATACATTGATAAGCAATTCATAGATGAAGAGCAATAATCAAGCAATTACACGGTAATTTTTCAAAAAAAATAGAAAATTTCTAGTGAGAAAAATTTTGGCTTTACAGCCTCTAGGTTTTGAGAAAAGTAGTTTCTATTTTTTATTGTTTTTAAAATTTGTTTCTGGGAATTCTAGTAAAGAGTAGTGTTTAGAAAACCCTTTAGTAATTTTTTTTAGGCGTTTCTAGGATTTTTTGGAATTTTTGGTTGAATTTTTCAATGAGTTTTTAAATTTTTTAGAGATATCAACGACAACTGAAGGAAATTAAGATGGCCAATTTCTGGGTTTTTGGTGGTTTTCGGGTTTGGTTTCAAGTTTTCGATAACTGGTTGAGTTTTTCAATGTCGGAATCTGAAAAAAATGGCATGTTTTTAAAGATTTGTTAAAGTTTTCAATGGACTATTTTAGAAAAAAGGCAAAGGAATTTGAAGTTAGAGAGAGAATGAGAAAGAAATTCTAAAAGAAAATTCAATTTTTGGCTATTATACTTGCGACTAAATAATGCTGTTTTGGCGTTTAAGAAATTCCCGACCCACGTCTCTACTCGTAAGACCCACATGCTACCTCAACTTCAAATTTGACCCATCTCGTAAAGTTTTACTTTTTTTTTAATTTTTTATTTTATTTTATTTTATTTTTTAAAATATTTTTTGTTTAATTTATTTTTATTCCCTTAGTTTAATTTTGATTTAAATTTGAAATAATGAAAATGAAGAAAAGGAAAAGGAAATTTTGATTGATATTTTATATTTTTATGATATTATTGCATGATTTTTATTTGTACACTTTTGCATGATTTATTATGGTATTATTGGATGATTTATGATTTTAATACATGATTTTTTTATAATATTTTTGCATGATATTTTTATGATATTTTATGACACTTTGACAATACTTTAGTATGAAATTATTTTGTAAATAAAATGGTTGTGAATATATTGATTTCTTTTACATAAGATATTTAATAAATTTGAGGATGGAGTCTTTTTAAGTAAACAACAAATCTATCTTGAATATTCATGAGATGAGAAAATTTTGTTTGGTAAAAGCCTAAAATTTTTTTTTCAATAATTAAATATTGAAATTAATAAAACCCTTTTTAATTAAGGCTTAGAGAAAAAAAACATAAGAATAATTTGGTACCAATTTTACGCATTATGAGGGTGCTAAAACCTTCCTTACCCATAACCGAATCCTGAACTTAGTTTTAAAGATATACACTAGAACTTATTCTTTTTAGAGACCCTTAGTTTAAGTTTATGATAACTTTAAAAAATGATAAATTCACTTAGGTGATCAATCACACCTAGTTAAAAATAAATAAATGATGAATCCATATTTTTGTATTTAATGGTTAGGTTCCCAAACTTGAATGTTAAGATAGTTTGACGACTCTACGAGAGACATTAGAAAGTCAAGCCACTAGTTAGCTATATGTTATCTTAAGCTTTATTTTGATGGTTTTTTATTATGTGATTATGCAAGACTTTTTCATGTGTACTAATCTATTAGTTTTGTATTTTTGTGTAGTATTTAATTTTTCATGTGTACTAATTTAATTGTTTGTTGTGTATTTTGTATAGCATTTGATTTGAGATATTGGATTTGTGAATTAAAAGAGTTGGTATGTTCCTTCACACACTATATATGCATTCATTCATAAGCTATAGATCTAAGTTTTGTTTTTCCTTAGTAGAAAGCAAATACCTACTCTCTTGTGAGGTGATCACCTTTGTGTGAGCTAGTGAAAGATTCTTATTTAAATTTTGCCCCTTCCGTTAGCCTATAATGGGTGAAGATTGGAATACCTTACTTGTCTATAATGGGTAATGACGTGAAAAACAATTTGGAAACTTTTAGATTGTCAAGGCCTTTAAACACAACATTTAAGTAAATCCTAAGAATCCAAACCTAAATTAGAGCCCCACCCATCTCTTTGTATAGAAAATCCTAAAATAGAACACATGAAAGGACATCTTTTTAACTTTTACTTATAAAATTGTACTTTTCTTTATTTTAGTATCTATTATATTTACAAACACATTTACTTTATTATGTGCTCATGCATTTGCATCATCAAATCTATTATAAGGAGTGATTACTACATAATAATTTTAACAAAAAGAGCTTAGCAAAGTCCCCTGTTGGCCTAAAGATGAGATCTGAAGAAGCTTAGCTCAAAGAAGATGATTGCTCGCTAACCAATTATGTGTCCACTCTCCCAATTAGAATTCTTCTCAATCTCAAAAGGAATGATTTCTTTCAACTAGGATTTTTTTCGTATGATCAGAGATGGATCCAAATGGAACATTAGAATGTTTGTGAATATCTTAAAGAATAAAAAATAAAAATTTCTTTCAATATCCATAAAATATTTTATTAAACATATTTTTCATTGATAAAATTAATAAATTTATTGATAACTTTTTATATATGATAAATAAACATAAAGAATACTTAATCCGCCGTTGTCTATAATATCATCATTTTGTGTTTAAAATTAAAAAACCTTAAATGAAGTTCTTTAATTAAAATTTGTAAAGTTTTCTATCATATGTGATTAAATTAAAATTAAAATTAAAATAAAAATTGATAGATTTAAAGGTCTCGTTATATGTAGATCAAGTATATAAAATTTGAAAAAATTCTAATAATTTTGATATATTTTTTAGATAGATATTTTTAATAAAAATGTTAATAAAATTTTGACGGTTAAATAAAAATCAGTCAAATTTGAATTATAAATAATATTTTTAATAATTATTTTTACAATTTTCACATTAAACTCTATCCATCAATGAATTTAAATTTTTTATTAAATTTTATAAACTTCACTTAAAAAAACCTTTATGTCAAGTTTCGTCTGCCTAACATTCTCTCATCATAATTACTATCAATTTCAACCCAACTTGATTATGGCCAAAACAAGGCACCCATCCTCTTACTTTGACCTTCTTAAATCTTTGACTCTCGATCTCTTTGATCTTCATGGTCCAACCTAGATAAAAAGGTTTATGCGTTTTTCATTGCCTCTGACTTTGAATTTCTTCAACCTATATAAAGCTCCTCTTTCCATCCCCTTTCCTCACTTGTCACTCGTTGCCTATTTCTTTTCTTCGACCTTGTTCTTCAGGTTTTTGTTCCTATTTTGGAAATTGAAGAATGAGTACTGCTACATTGGAAGAAAGCTTTGGAATTGGAAGAAACCCTCAACGGAAATACAAGGGAGTGCGTCGTCGAAGATGGGGTAAATGGGTGTCTGAAATCCGAGTCCCAGGCACACAGGAACGCCTTTGGTTAGGCTCTTATTCCACCCCGGAGGGTGCTGCCATTGCCCATGACATTGCTTTCTATTGTCTCCGTCGACCATCTTCCTTAAATGGCCTCAACTTTCCATCCATGTTACCTTCAAACGTCAGTGCAAACATGTCTCCCAAGTCTATACAGAAATCAGCATCGGATGCTGGCATGGCAGTCGATGCCCAGATGATGTTGAGCAGACCCATCAACAATGAAACCAAGGAAAACGAAAACAGTGTAATGATGGGCATGGAAACAGATTCCTGGGAAAAAGATAGCTGTAATGGGTCATGGGAAGCAAGTCTGGGAAAAGAAGGGGAGGCTTTGAGCATTTCCGTTGAAGATTATCTCTAAATAGATATCAGAAACAGCTTAATCCATCTCTAAATAGATGAAAATTTTGTATATTCAATTTAGAATGTAAAACAAATTATTAGTGCTAATTTGATCAGAAGAGCATGCAATGGCTACCTAGTAATTATTTAGTTTAGAAAATTTTCTAAATTTAGCAAAATCTTATCCAATTTGGCCGTCATACTTTACTTATGGATTAATATTATATTTTTCTAATAACATTTGATAATTTTAAATATGATATGATGATATAATTTGAAAACGTTACAATAAAAATCAAATTTTGTTTAGAAATGATTTAAGTCAAATTTTAAATAAAGTTAACTTTGTATATCAATTATCAACAATGAAGCATTAGTTCGTGTTACATGCTTAATTCCTAAACCTAAACGTGAAAGAGTAGTGATAGTTTCATGATTAATATTTCAAATTAATCAAATTCCATATTGAGTTAGGGAACGAGTATGGTATATTTGATATTGAAGCAACCAACCCTAAAAAGTTATTTCCTTACTAAAACAGTTGCAAATCAGAAGCCCATTTACTTTTGCCATTCAATGTTATAAAAAAGTAGAAAGCTGTCAAAGTAATCCAAATCCATGAACAAGTAAAAAATAGAAAGAATTTCTTGAAGATGGTAAAGCTACATATATGACTATTTGAAGCGTATATACAGAAGGCTTTATTCGGTTACTAAAAGTTTCTATTCATGTACCCAGAAGAGGATATGGGCCCATTGAGAACTGAGAAGCTTCCTAACTCAAGTGACTGTCGAATTCACAACCAGGAAAATCAGGGTTTCATGTGCCAATAATTGAAATCCAAAAGTTATGATCAAATTAATAGTGCAAACTAAAAGGCAAGAAAGTTTAAAAGGACAATGCCAGGCCAGCCATGCATGTGGCTTCCACATCTTCTGCCACAACTGGAAGAAGGTTATGGGACCAGTAGGAAGCTTCCTAGGAGAGGTGCCCTCCAATACAAATCTAGTAGTGCCATCAGATAGCTGTCTGCCACCTCCCGCCATGGAAGTTCTTCTTGTACCATGAGCTAAGAGAAGTCGGAAAGTGTTAGGCTAAAAACTCTCAATCAATTTAATCATTGAAGCAAATGAAAGTATAATTAAACCATTAATTATCTACATAAGAGACAACAATTTTAATATAATTTGACTCTCAACTTGCTTACCTTTAAGGATGAGGAAAAGATTTATCAGTTATAGAGAATTATAAATATACAATAAAATCAATCTCAAATTGATTTCTAATGATCTCAATTCAAACATTTACACACACACATACGCACCCATTTGGACCCTTTTATTCTCCTCTAATCCACTCACAAATAATACTCATGTATATTATCCTCTAATCCTATGAAGTATTCACACACCAAATATCTAATATATCCCTTTCAATCTCCTCTAGTCTTATGGGGTATTTATCTCTTAAAACTCTATAGCTCTAGTACATTTTTTCTCATACTTAATCTTATTAAAACTTCAATTATATATAAACGTACTAACTTGCCTACCAAGAATCTTTTTTCTTTTAAAAATTTTCTTTTGCAAGTCTTCTTTTTCATCAAGTAATATCTAGGCAATTGAAAATTTCTCAACTAAATCTCTTATGAGATTTAAGTCATTACTTCCAACAATTTTTGCTTAACTCAAATTCCATCAAATTATTATCTTTTATGCTAGACATGTTTCGGTCAGCATGAAATGGAACTTTAGTAATAATCTTTTATATGTGTCTTTATGCTCCACGCAAAATGATCCTTCAAAGCACAAACACAAACTCCTCCCTTAAATTGAGCTCCTTTGAGCATATTTCTTTTCACTTCTCAAACATTCACTTTGATACCAATTGTTATGTATCTAATCCACATCTGTTTTGAACATAGCTATGATACTAGTTGTTTGGCTAAAAACCCCCAATCAATTCAATCATCAAAGCAAGTGGAAGCATAATCAAACCATTAATAATTCTTATAAAAGACAATAATTTTAAAGTGGTTTGGTACTTAATTAGCATATCTCCATAGATGAAAGAAAAAATTCACTTATTGTAAAAAATTATAAACATACAATCAAATCAATCCCAAATTGATCTTTAGCAATCTCAATTCAAACATTTATACATATAAGGTAGACCTTCTCATTCTCTTCAAGTCCACTCACAAACAATAATGATGGACATTCTCTTTTAGTCTTATAGAGCATTCGCATACCAAAGATCAATTGTGCTCACCCTTAAGGACCTTTTCAATCTTTTCAAGTCCCATTGGATATTTATCCCATAAAATTTTTCAATTGTATTAGATCTTTTTTTTTTCATATCTAACCCTATTGAGATTCTCACTGTTTATAAGCATACTAATTTACTAACCAAAAATCTCTTTCCTCTTAATTTTTTTTTATGCAAATCTTCTTTTCTATTAAATAATATCTAAGCAATCTAAAAAACTTTAACAAAATTTCTTATGAGATTTATGTTGTTATTCCTTACAAAAATTCCAATTAAGTACATTAGGTGAAACATCCTATAGACTAGGAATGTGTCATGCCAACCAGGGTACTTCATATTAGAATCCCTTGACAAGCCCTTAAAACAATTAGCCTGGCAAACTTTTCCATAAGCCAACCAATCATTCGTAGCTCCAATCCATGTGTGGCAATTGTTATTCCAACCTTATCATTTATGGACTTCAAATTTGAAAGTCTCATAGAAATTTACAAAAGCATCTTTAATAGCCTAACACTAATTAGAAGAAAAGGTTAGGGTGATATAGATAATATTTATTTTTTATATTATGAAAACTAAGATTGAATTGAAATAATCATCAAAGCTCTCCTAATTTTCGTCGAGACTGCTACTTTAGCCTTGTTTTATCATTTGTGTAATAGGGTTTGTCATTTATAAACAACTTTTTAGGATTTTTCTTTCTTAGAATTGGAAGAAAAAGATTGAAATGACTGTTCAAAATTGCACCTATACCTTTTAGAAAAAAAAAAATGGCTTATGAAATGTTTATTATTATTAGCGTTGATAGCTCTCTTCTTTAAAGCTTATGCCGTAGAAGCTGACATCAGGCTATTGGCGTTTTATCTGCATCTTCCCGAACAAGACCCACACCCTATTAAGCACATAATATATTAAAACTTTACAAATTAACATGCTTAATCATTGAATCATCTGTAAAATGCTTAATCTTATAAATTCATGCATTATTTATAACATTTCGTTCTCATAAGTTCGTGCATCATAATATTCATGTCAAATAATTTCCTCAAAACAGCATAGCAAGTAAGGTTTTAACCATGTACTTTCATCCATAGTCCTATTTCTTAAGCATATTATAAATACTAAATTTGTAGTGTTGTAGCCAATGCATTTTCCTTCTTTAGCAAGAATTATATGAACTATACACATTTTTATTAAACTATGAATTTCATGGGCATTACAATAAAACTCTTTATTTGTGGATTAACATAGGATTAACTGTCATAATGTATAGATCTATGGATATACCACTAGACATAGACTTTAAGAGTCGTCACCAATCTTTTTTGTTAAGAGGTGATTGGCTATCTGACAGAATTTGTCTCTTTTAAAAGAAGTCTCAATATTGACTTAGGTATCTCTAAATAGTATATTCTAGTCTACAAAACCAAAATTTAAGTTTGAGAGTACGGTTATGCATAAGAAAGATTATAGTACCCTCATAACGCCCATCCAAAAAATAGTACCAGTTTGATTTCAAGTTATCCAAGCCTTAAAACATGTCCAAAATTTACCAAATAATTTAATATTAGAAATTTTCCCTAAATTACTCAAATATGTTAGTAATAATTTAAGAATATTTTTTTACCTCAGGAGTGTTCAAGAAGACTATTTGTCATGCTTTAAAGAGGCTCCACTTTCAGATTCATTTAATTTTGCTTTTAAAAATAAATATCTATAAACAGGGCTTATAGTAAAAAATATCCTCAAATTTGTTGATAAAACTTTTTGTTAAAAATTATTCTCCAATCTATTGGTAGAGTTTTATGCAAAAAGATAGGAAATATTATTTTATTATTTTATATGTCTTAAAACTTGATTTTTTTAGGAAATTATAAGGCTTTCCAATATGTTGGTAAAATTTTATTTTGAAAATAAAATATAGGCCTTCTAATGTGTTAGTAATATTTTTTATTTTTAGTTTTTTTAAATAAAAAAAAGGTTATAATGTTTTTCAATATGTTAATAAAACCCTATTTTAAAAAATAATTGCCTTTTAATCTGTTAGTAAGGCTTTTATTTAAATATATTTTTATAAAAATATATTTAAAGAATAATAGATAAGCAAATAAATAAATAAAATAGTTAAATAAATAAAAATAAAATAAAATAAAATAAAGTTGAAGTCGACTTAGCTAAGCGACTAAGCTACACGGCTTACTAGAATAAATTCTTACAATTCCAAATTTTACAAAGAATTTTTTTAAAAAATACTACCAAAAATCATATTTTTTTCTGAATAATTTTCTTTTCCTCTTTTCTCAAGAGTTTTCGTATAATTTTTTTCTCCTTTCTTTTTTTTTTTCTTGCTTGTGTAGTTGATTGATGTTTATATAGGGCCTTCTACCAGGAATTTTAGGGATTTACATTGAATCAAAAAGATTGGAGATACGATTATGCTCTAAATTAATTTTTTTCTTAATTCTCTTTAAAACCAATTTAATTAATTTATGAAATTGTCTTGATTTTTCTTAATTTTTAGAATTCCTTAAAATTTTTCAAATTAAATCTGACTTTGATTTCCTTATTTGATTTCTTTTCAACCTTTATTTAATATTTGAACAAATCATATTTTAGTCCTAATTGTCGATATAAGCCTTGATTAGTGCTTAAATTACTCATTAAATTTTATTAATATGATTTATGATAAAAATTTAAAATCAGATAAATAAAAGACTAAAAGATAAATAAATAAGATAAGCAAGATGTAAAAAAGAAATGTAAGAAATTAGATAATTCGGCTTGGATTGGATCTGGACCCAATTTTTTGAGCCCCAGACTAAATAAGATGTTTACAGCTACCCATTGTTACACAGTTTTTGTGAAA